CACGGAATTGCAGGGTGAATGTGCTATTCTGTGCCCATTTTCTTTTATAATAAGTCACATTATAATTTCCCCCATCTCTAGAACATTTCCTCTTTGCTCATGGGGGGATGAACTCAAGCATCCATGCCCTGGTAAGTTTTGCTTTCAGGTCAGCACCCAGAAGTGACAGGTAGGTTGATAGATAGTGTTCTTTTTTGTTTTATGAACAGCACAGAGAAACATACCCTCCTGAAATCAAAGTAGCTTATGGAGCCTTTCACCATTGCAGAGAGAGAAAATGTAAAAGAAAGTGTATTGTGGATCAGAGCCACACCAAATGAGAGCCAAAACCAATGGGAACAAATCCACACTAGGCAATTATCAGAAGGGAAACTGGACTTTCCCATAACAGGGCACTTAAGATACATTCACACAAATGGAATCCTGGGATTTGTAGTTTTGTCGTCGTTGTGTCCCTTGTTGCTTCCGACTTATGGCAACCCCAAGGTGAACCTTTCATGGGGTTTTCTTGGCAAGATTAGTCCAGAGGAGGTTTGCCATTGCCTTCCCCTGAGGCTGAGAGCATGTGACTTGCCCATGGTCACCCGGTAAACTTCATGGCCAAGCTAGGAATGGAACCCTGGTCTCCAGAGTTGTAGTCTACACAAACCACTGTGCCACACTGGCTCTCAAGTTCTCACTACAAATCTCAGGATTCTGTAGAATGGAGCAATGACAGTTTACTATAGATTCAGGGCCTTTGCAGACTGCCAGAAATAGTGCAAATTGAGTCCACTTTAAGGGTTAGAGTTAATGCTAGGGAGTCTTGGGAATTGTTTTTTTTCCTCTGAGACATTGAGTGTTCTCTGTTAGAGAGCTCTGGTGCCACAATAAACTACAGTTCCCATGATTTCCTAACCCCAACCCTAACCTTTAAAGTGGACTCAATTTGCACTATTTCTGGCAGTCTTATGTAGCTTTGCAGTCAGTGGAGTTTGCTTTGGAATAAATATGGAGCTGGCTTTAACAATACTTTTTACTCCTGATTACTAGTGAAGCCTGGGGAAGGCTTTTAATAGACCCCCCCCACCTCTGTAAAATGTGTGGAAACTGAAATCTGTTCCATGATGGTTGATCTGACTTGAATGCTGCAAATAAAGTTGGACTGCACATTGATTACCAGTAGCACTTTATTGACATTATTAATCCCTGATGGCTTTTAACATGGATCCAGCATGGATGTCCGAAGTGTTAAAGGCCATGAGCATGGACTTTTAGTTGGGTGGATTTCCATATGATGTAGTTATAGCACTGATTCCACTCCCTATGGAAATACTGGGAAGTTTAGGGAAGGGCATTTAGGATTCTCTGACAGAGTGCTCTAGTAGCTTGCCAACCTACATATCCCAGGATTGCATAGGATGTAGCCATGACAGTTAAAGCAGGATCCCAGCTGTGTAAGGGTGCTTGGAATCCTGACTATACATGGTTCCAACTCACTTAGGCTTTATCCGCACTGCAGAAATAATCCATCTTGACACCACTTTTACTACCATGACACAATGCTGTGGGATTCTGGGAACTGTAGTTTGTTATGTCACCAAAGCTCTCTCACAAATGTCTCACAAAACTACAACTGGGAGAATTCTGTTACCCTGAGCCATGGCAGTTAAACTGGTGTCAACCTGGATTATTTTTGCAGTGTGGAGGCAACCTTAGAAACCCATGTGAATAAGCAGACAACTTTCTCAGCATACCGTAGTTGCCAGGAGTTAGGGCCAGCATGCTGGCCCAGGTCCACTGACCCCGAAAGCACCAAGAACCTTTCTTGGAGGTTATTCAGATGGTGAAAAAAAAAAAAAAATCCTGGATGAACATGATATTAATTTTTGTTGCTCACATGCAATAGCTAAAGTGTTTTTTTGGGGTGGGGTGGGGTGGAGGAAGTGGCTACCCAAAAACCTGCAAATCCTGGAATAATCAATCTCAGGATTTTTTAAAGTTTCCTAAAAGATTCACATTGTCGGCTGTGTGAATAACTGATGGGAATAGACAGGGGATAAACTCTTCATGTCTTGAACGTGTTTCGAATACATCCAGAAAGGGGGATGGCTTTCATTACGAGCTGCTAGGGCCACTGTTTTATCCTTGTAGAATAGAAATCTCAAAAAGTAACTGAAAAACCTCAAAAAGTGACTTTGCAGGCTTGACTTTCATCATAGTCAGTGCCCATATCCAGTTTTAAACCTGCGGCATTGCCTTTGAATGGGAGCCAGCGTGATGTAGCGGTTTGATTAATTTTAATATTAGTAGTGTTTATTTTCATAACCCAACATATATGGAGGGTGCTGAGAGCCAGCATGGTGTAGTGGCTGAGCATTGAACTACAAATCTGGAGACCAGGGTTCGAATGCCTACTCAGCCATGTAAACCCACTGGGGTGACCTTTGGCAAGTCACACTCTCTCAGCTTCAGAAGATGGCAACGGCAAACCCCCTCTGAAAAAACATGCCAAGAGAAACCCGTGACAGATTCACCTTTAGGGTCTCCATAAGTCAGAAATGACTTAAAAGCACAGAACAACAAAATTGCCTTTGAACAGCTGAAGTGAAGGGGCAGATTTGTCTCCAAATGTTTCTCACCCTGGCTGTTAAAAGTTATCACAGCCTCCCCTTCTTCATCTAGGATGACTGTGCAGAGAGAGCCACAGGCCAAGGCTGAGGCACTGCTGTGGGGTAGAGAAGTTGACCATCCAAGGACCCTGGGAGTTCTGCCAGACAACCAAGGAACAAATGTACGGTAGCTCCTTTCGGGAAGTGAAGTTACCTTCCTGCAATTCAGCCCTGATTTGGCAGCCCCCCCAGATAAACAGCTATTGTATGCTCTGGGAATCTGGGAATTGGCTTGCAATGCAGGAAATTCACTCCTCCCTAGAAAGTTCAAGTACCAAAGGAATCTATTTGGGAAAGGCTGTTTTGAGTCCCAGTGCATGTCAGCATTGTGCAGCGGTATGTCAGACTAAGGGCCTTTACAGATTGCCAGAAATAATGCAACTTGAGACCACTTTAACTGTCCTGGCTCAGTGTTAGGGAATCATGGGAACTGTAGTTTATTGTGGCACCAGAGCTCTCTGACAGAGAAGGCTCAGTGTCTCAGAAAAAACAACAACTACAATTCCCATGATTCCCTAGCACTGAGCCAGGACAGTTAAAGTGGTCTCATGCATTATTTCTGGCAGTCTGTAAAGGCCCATAGACTCTGGGCATGCACCTTGTTGTTGAGTGCCTCCAAGTCATTCTTTACTTATGGCAGCCCTAGTTACTTATGGGACTGCCATTGTCATCCTCTGAGGCTGAGAGAGTGTGGATCACCCAAGGAGGTCACCCAGTAGGTTTCCATGGCCCAGCCAGGATTCAGATTTTCTTCTCCAGAGTCCAGTACTGAAACTACTGCAACACAAGTTGCTGGTGGGACTGCCATGGACATATACTGAGGCTCATGAGAGAGTGTGACTTGTTCCAAGGAGGTCACCCAGTGAGTTTCCATGGCCCAGCCAGGATTCGAATTTTGCTCTCCAGAGTCCAACGCTCAAACCACTGTGCCACAAGTTAGTTGTGGGACTGTCATAGTCATCCTCTGAGGTTGAGAGAGAGTGACTCGCCCATAGCCGTGTGATCCAACACTCAAACCACTGCGCCACAAGTTAGTTGTGGGACTGTCATAGTCATCCTCTGAGGTTGAGAGAGAGTGACTTGCCCATAGCCGTGTGATCCAACACTCAAACCACTGCGTCACAAGTTAGTTGTGGGACTGCCATGGACACCCTCTGAGGCTGAGAGAGTGTGGCTTGCCATGGGTATCCTCTGAGACCGAGGGAGTGTGGCTCACCCAAGGAGGACACCCAGTGGGTTTCCATGGCAGAACCAGGATTTGAATTCTGCTCTCCAGAGTCCAATACTAAAACCACTGCACCACAAGTTACTCGGGGAACTGCCATGGGCACCCTCTGAGGCTGAGAGAGTGTGGGCTTGCCCATAGCCGAGCGGTCCAACAGTTAAACCACTGCACCACAAGTTAGTTGTGGGACTGCCATGGACACCCTCTGAGGCTGAGAGAGTGTGGCGCACCCAAGGAAGTCACCCAATGGGTTTTCAGGATTCGAACTCTGCTCCGCAGAGCCCAGTAGTGAAAGCACTCCGGCAGTCTGTCTCTCCGCGGGGCTGTTCTGAGGAGAACAGGCGGGAAGGCGGGGAAGGAAGGGAGCTGCATTGCGGCTGGGAAGGAGAAGGAGAAGGAGAAGGAAAAGAAGAGCCGCCCCAGAGCCACCCAGAGCCCGGCTCTGGAGGGAGAGGAAGGGGCTGGAAAGGGAGACCCTGCTCCATCATCCCCAGAGAGGTGTGAGTAATGGGCTCCACTGGCTATAAGAGGAGACATACTAAAACAAATGACAGTACTTGACCATAGGGAATCATTGGGGAATACTTGCCCATAGGGAAGCATTACAGAATATTTGCCTATAGGGAAATA